GGGGAAGAGAAATTAGGAGGGAGGGAGAGATATTAGGAGGCGGGAGAGATATTAGGAGGGGGGGAAAGAGAAATTAGGGCGGGAGAGAAATAGAAATTGGGGGGAGAGAAATTGAAATTAGGAGGGGGGGAGAGAAATTGAAATTAGGAGGGGGGAAGAGATATTAGGAGGGGGGAAAGAGAAATTAGGGGGGGAGAGAAATTAGGAGGGGGGCGAGAGAGAAATTGGGAGGAGGAGAAGGAAATTGGAGCGGGAGGAGAGATTGACATTCATCACATACACACCATGCACACCTTGCACACAGAAAAACACACAATGCATTACACACACAGACACACATACACAAGCAATGCAACCGTTACACACAATGCATCCCTTACACACATAGAAACACACAATGCATTTATTACACACACTCAATGCATCCCATACATACACAGAAACACACCTTGCAGCCCTTACACATACAAACACAATTTCACACAATGCATTCCTACACACATATCAGGACATCCCTTACACACTCCACCCCTGTGAACAAACTCATTGGTGGAACATGAAGGTGAACCCTGGGACCCAGACCTTGAGCTGTGTAAAGGACCCCCAAAAAATGGAGCTGCTTCCCGTTCTCCCAGAACATTGATTTTAGACCACAGTTACAAAACCCCCAGAGAGCCTGTTCTGCACCACCAGTGGAGCCAGACTGCAGCTAGAGCCCATCATCATCCTCATCTGGTTGTAAGTAGGCAATCTAGTATATTATTCGTGGCACTAATCTCTAATTTACCTCACATTAAAAACACTATAGTCCCCAGAACCACTTCAGCTTAATGTAGTGGTTCTGGTGTCTATAGCCTGTCCCTGCAGGCCTTTTAATGTAAACACGGCGGCACTGCAGCACTGGCGTTAGTTAACATGGCAAATCATATGGGTGGGGCATTGTGATGTAACATGGGGGGGGGGCGGCAAACTTTACTTGTAAAAAAAAAAGAAAGAAAACCTTTAACATTTTTTAAAGTTTTCTTCTTTTTTTTTTGGGGGGGGGTGCCAAGCACAGGATCCGCCCCGGGTGCCAAATGCTCTAGGTACGCCCCTGGATCCAGGGTACAGCATTCTACGTAATTCGGAAGGCAATAGGATCCAGGGCACAGCATTCTCCATCATTTGGCAGGATGTAAGATCCAGGGCACAACATTCTCCGTCATTCAGCAGGATGTAGGATCCAGGGTACTGCATTCTCTGTAATTCGGCAGGATATAGGATCCAGGGTACTGAATTCTCTGTAATTCAGCAGGATATAGGATCCAGGGTACAGCATTCTACGTAATTCGGAATGCTATAGGACCCAGGGCACAGCATTCTCCGTTATTTGGCAGGCTATAGGATCGAGGGCACAGCATTCTCCATCATTTGGCAGGATGTAGGATCCAGGGCACAGCATTCTCCATCATTTGGCAGGATGTAGGATCCAGGGCACAGCATTCTCCGTCATTTGGCAGGATGTAGGATCCAGGGTACTGCATTCTCTGTAATTCGGCAGGTTATAGAATCCAAGGTACAGCATTCTACATAATTCAGAAGGCTATAGGATCCAGGGTACAGCATTCTACGTAATTCGGAAGGCTATAGGATCCAGGGCACAGCATTCTCCATCATTCGGCAGGATATAGGATCCAGGGTACAGCATTCTCCATAATTTGGCAGGATGTAGGATCCAGGGTACAGCATTCTCCGTAATTTGGCAGGATGTAGGATCCAGGGTACAGCATTCTCCGTAATTTGGCAGGATATAGAATCCAGGGTACTGCATTTTCAATCATTTGGCAGGATATAGGATCCAGGGCACAGCATTCTCTGTAATTCGGCAGGATATAGAATCCAGGGTACAGCATTCTCCGTAACTTGGCAGGATGTAGGATCCAGGGTACAGCATTCTCTGTCATTCGGCAGGATATAAGATCGAGGGTACAGCATTCTCTGTAATTCGGCAGGATATAGGATCCAGGGTACTGCATTCTCCGTAACTTGGCAGGATATAGGATCCAGGGTACAGCATTCTCCATAATTTGGCAGGATGTAGGATCCAGGGTACAGCATTCTCCGTAATTTGGCAGGATGTAGGATCCAGGGTACAGCATTCTCCGTAATTTGGCAGGATATAGAATCCAGGGTACTGCATTTTCAATCATTTGGCAGGATATAGGATCCAGAGCACAGCATTCTCTGTAATTCGGCAGGATATAGAATCCAGGGCACAGCATTCTCCGTAACTTGGCAGGATGTAGGATCCAGGGTACAGCATTCTCTGTCATTCGGCAGGATATAAGATCGAGGGTACAGCATTCTCTGTAATTTGGCAGGATATAGGATCCAGGGTACTGCATTCTCCGTAACTTGGCAGGATATAGGATCCAGGGTACAGCATTCTCCATAATTTGGCAGGATGTAGGATCCAGGGTACAGCATTCTCCGTAATTTGGCAGGATGTAGGATCCAGGGTACAGCATTCTCCGTAATTTGGCAGGATATAGAATCCAGGGTACTGCATTTTCAATCATTTGGCAGGATATAGGATCCAGGGCACAGCATTCTCTGTAATTCGGCAGGATATAGAATCCAGGGCACAGCATTCTCCGTAACTTGGCAGGATGTAGGATCCAGGGTACATATGTCTGCTCCAATTACCAAACAAGCAGAAATTCATCAAAATAAAATAAATATTTTTGCAAAAGAAAAATCTTGGTGGGGGAATTCTTCGGCTCCCCCCTCCCTGTAGACACACATTAATGCAGAGACAGAAATCACTGACTGAAAGGACAATTTTAGAAGCCCTTAAAGACAGACACGCAGGATGATTTCTATGTATCCGTATTGCCTGGTACGTAGTCAGTTTTTATTTCATCTGCTTTTCCTTAACATGAGCATTGAAGCATTGAAACTGGATATAGTTATCTAACACATAATAAAAGTATGGCTCCAGTGACAATCGATTTGAATAAATATGTGCAGTACCTATGGCGGCTCTGTATATATGTATTATAACATGCACACAGACTGCACAGACACATTGTAACACATGCGCGTGTCTGCACTGAGACATGTAAAGTGACAGCTGTCATTCCACACGTTCCTGTACCCTCAGCTGTTCCAGGGCCGAGCAGTGAGTCACAAATAACTGAGCCAGTGAGTGGGGGATGAGCTGGCACTCACAGTCCTCCTTCTGGACACTCAGATCTACCCGTGTACTTCGACAGGTCGGTCACACTCTATCTCTATCTGCCCTACTCCATCTCTGTCTGTCTCTTTTCCCTCTCTCTGTCCTGGATCGCTCTCTCATTACCTCTCTGTCTGTCTCCCTGTCTCTACTCACTCTCTCATTCAATTTCCATGTCTCTCTGTCTCCCTCTGTCTCTACTTGCTCTCACATTCCCTCTCTGTCTCTCTCTGTCTCTGCTTGCTCTGTCTCATTCTCTCTCTGTCTTTGCTCGCTCTCTCATTACCTCTCTTTGTCTCTCTCTTTCTCTGCGTCTCTCTCTGTCTCTGCTCATTCTCTCTCTCTGTCTCTCTCCGTGTCTGCTCTGTCTGTATTCCCCCCCCCCAACACACTCTCTTGTCTGCCAGCAGACTGCTGTTCCTGGTAATATCTTTGCAGAGAGCCCCTGACTCCAAGCAGGTAACTTGCTGATAATAGGCTGTGATTTTAGTGTGACCTTGAACTGTGCTGTTTGTACCTCTCTGATTTCTCAGTGACAACACCTCAGCCTGACATGGAAGGATCACTTACTACCCGTATACAATCACCCAATTATCTGTGATTGACCATTAACCATGCATTAATTTAAACTTAAAATCTGCCCCTCTACTCTTAGGATCCCAACAATTACCCTCAAAATCTTCCCTTCTGTTCTTAGGAAACCCCCCCCCAATTATCTTCAGATCTACCCCTCTACTCTAATATCCCCACATTCCCCTCAGGATCTGACCAACATTAATATACTGCTAAAATCCCCCCGATTCCCCTCCGAATCGGCCCTGAGAATGAACTTATTCACACTGATAAAATGCCATTTTAAGGAACAATGCACACATAAAAATGTGCTGTTAAGAATTGGGGCCTTAACAAAATATGACCATATGATGGAACTGAATCCCTATGTTTGTTTGCTGAGAGGCAATTTATGTAGCCATATAAGATATACAAATGTATTTTTATGTATGTGCTGTCCTTTAATCTGTATATTGTATAACCTGTGATCGCTACAGCAGTGCCACTCCTGCAAAATGCATGTTTCGGGTCCACCCTTAATTCCCTTTTGTCTTTAATATGCTATTTTAACAGAGACTGTGCCAATTCACTCTGTAAGTCTGCGCATTCACCCTGAGAATCTGACCATTCACCCTGAAAATCTGACCATTCACTCTGAGAATCTGTCCATTCACCCTGAGAATCTGTCCATTCACCCTGAGAATCTGACCATTCACTCTGTAAATCTGTCCATTCACCCTGAGAATCTGTCCATTCACCCTGAGAATCTGACCATTCACTCTGTAAATCTGTCCATTCACCCTGAGAATCTGTCCATTCACCATGAGAATCTGACCATTCACTCTGAACAAGATCCCCTTCATACCTAAATCTTTGAATATCCAGTGCTGAGCTCATCAGCCTCCTTCCATGTAGCTTTTCCCTTCAGTAACGTTGTCCTCGGAACTCCGAGGTCTTTCCTGATATTCTAATTAAAGTAACTGAAACTCTCCCATGGTAAGTCTGATATACAGCAGGGCATGCTTTGCAAAAACCTTGGCTAGCGATACACAGAGGGCCTCATTCACTAAACAACAAACTAGTAAATGGCGATATCCTCCAACTAGACTATAATCACAGCTCGGCTAATCCAACTTTATTTCGTAATTCTGATTTCAATTAGTCAGTGATTAGTTAATACATTCGTTATATAGAAGTCAATATTGTACAGGTTAATCAAAGTTGGAAGCGCACTCTGCCCCTCACAATGGAATCCAAGGTGCTTCTTGGAAAGTCCCAGTACCCATAGGACCAATAGTAGATAATTGTAGAAAATAATCCAGGCACTCCAATAGATTCCAAATATTAAGGCAATTTATTTGAACCAAGGACTACAAAGCAACATTTCAGCCCTATCAGGGCTTTTTTGAAGCTTGAAAAAAGCCCTGATAGGGCTGAAACGTTGCTTTGTAGTCCTTGGTTCAAATAAATTGCCTTAATATTTGGAATCTATTGGAGTGCATGGATTATTTTCTACAATATTGTACAGGTTGTCTTATTTTCTAGCTCAGGGAAAATATAATGTACTATTTACCATTTATGGAAAGTTTTTAGAAAAACCTCATGAAAATGAATAAATAATATCTATCGAAATAAGAGAAATTCCGGGGCAGCATTGTAAATGCCGAGAAATCACCACGTTAAGCCTTAGAATAGAACTTGTGTAGATAGACAGAAAAAAACCAACAACAAACACACAAACACACACACACACAACAAGTCATACCTTTCATAATAAAACTCGTAACAACACGCCAACTGTCCATCCTCTACCTGAGCAAAACACCTGGGGGGAGAGGGGGGAAGATTAAAAACTCTAAAATAGATACCAGGTCTAAACTGGCTGGTAAAAAGTGACACTCTGGTAGATATCCCTGGCTGGTAAATGGAGACACTCTGGTAGATATCCCTGGCTGGTAAATGGTGACACTCTGGTAGATATCCCTGGCTGGTAAATAGTGACACTCTGGTAGATATCCCTGGCTGGTAAATAGTGACACTATGGTAGATATCCCTGGCTGGTAAATAGTGACACTCTGGTAGATATCACTGGCTGGTAAATAGTGACACTCTGGTAGATATCCCTGGCTGGTAAATAGTGACATTCTGGTAGATATCCCTGGCTGGTAAATAGTGACACTATGGTAGATATCCCTGTCTGGTAAATAGTGACACTCTGGTAGATATCCCTGGCTGGTAAATAGTGACACTCTGGTAGATATCCCTGGCTGGTAAATAGTGACACTCTGGTAGATATCCATGGCTGGTAAATAGTGACACTCTGGTAGATATCACTGGCTGGTAAATAGTGACATTCTGGTAGATATCACTGGCTGGTAAATGGTGACACTCTGGTAGATATCACTGGCTGGTAAATAGTGACACTCTGGTAGATATCCCTGTCTGGTAAATAGTGACACTCTGGTAGATATCCCTGTCTGGTAAATAGTGACACTCTGGTAGATATCCATGGCTGGTAAATAGTGACACTCTGGTAGATATCACTGGCTGGTAAATAGTGACATTCTGGTAGATATCACTGGCTGGTAAATGGTGACACTCAGGTAGATATCCCTGGCTGGTAAATAGTGACATTCTGGTAGATATCCCTGTCTGGTAAATAGTGACATTCTGGTAGATATCCCTGTCTGGTAAATAGTGACATTCTGGTAGATATCACTGGCTGGTAAATAGTGACACTCAGGTAGATATCCCTGGCTGGTAAATAGTGACACTCTGGTAGATATCACTGGCTGGTAAATAGTGACACTCTGGTAGATATCACTGGCTGGTAAATGGTGACACTCTGGTAGATATCCATGGCTGGTAAATAGTGACACTCTGGTAGATATCACTGGCTGGTAAATAGTGACACTCTGGTAGATATCACTGGCTGGTAAATGGTGACACTCTGGTAGATATCACTGGCTGGTAAATAGTGACACTCTGGTAGATATCCCTGGCTGGTAAATAGTGACACTCTGGTAGATATCCCTGGCTGGTAAATGGTGACACTCTGGTAGATATCCCTGGCTGGTAAATAGTGACACTCTGGTAGATATCCCTGGCTGGTAAATAGTGACACTCTGGTAGATATCACTGGCTGGTAAATGGTGACACTCTGGTAGATATCCCTGGCTGGTAAATAGTGACACTCTGGTAGATATCCATGGCTGGTAAATAGTGACACTCTGGTAGATATCCCTGGCTGGTAAGAATTACATTCTGAGAAGGTAGATATCCCTGGCTGGTAAATGGTGACATTCTGGTAGATATCCTAGCTGGTAGGCCGAGGAGACACTCTAATTGGAAATATCCTAGCTGGTAAATATAGTGACATTCTGGTAGATATCCTAGCCTTTTGAAAAGTATATAGAGACATTCTGGTAGATATCACTGTCTAGTAAATTGCTTGACTTGGTAGATATCCCTGGCACAGTAAATAGTGACACTATGATGGAATATCCTTTTAGCTGATAAATAAACATTCTGGTAGATATCCCTGGCTGGTAAATAGTGACATTCTGGTAGATATCACTGGCTGGTAAATGAAGAGTGACATTCCTGGTAGATATCTGTCTGGTAAAGCCAGAGACGATACAGGTGGAATATCCCTGGCTGGTAAATAGTGACACTCTGGTAGATATCACTGGCTGGTAAATAGTGACACTCTGGTAGATATCCCTGGCTGGTAAATAGAGACATTCTGGTAGATATCACTGTCTGGTAAATTGTGACATTCTGGTAGATATCACTGGCTGATAAATAGTGACATTCTGGTAGATATCCCTGGCTGGTAAATAGTGACACTCTGGTAGATATCCATGGCTGGTAAATAGTGACACTCTGGTAGATATCACTGGCTGGTAAATAGTGACACTCTGGTAGATATCACTGGCTGGTAAATGGTGACACTCTGGTAGATATCCCTGGCTGGTAAATAGTGACACTCTGGTAGATATCCATGGCTGGTAAATAGTGACACTCTGGTAGATATCACTGGCTGGTAAATAGTGACACTCTGGTAGATATCCCTGGCTGGTAAATAGTGACACTATGGTAGATATCCCTGGCTGGTAAATAGTGACATTCTGGTAGATATCCCTGGCTGGTAAATTGTGACATTCTGGTAGATATCCCTGGCTGGTAAATAGTGACACTCAGGTAGATATCCCTGGCTGGTAAATGGTGACATTCTGGTAGATATCCCTGGCTGGTAAATAGAGACACTCTGGTAGATATCCCTGGCTGGTAAATGGTGACATTCTGGTAGATATCCCTGGCTGGTATATAGAGACATTCTGGTAGATATCACTGTCTGGTAAATTGTGACATTCTGGTAGATATCACTGTCTGGTAAATTGTGACATTCTGGTAGATATCACTGGCTGATAAATAGTGACATTCTGGTAGATATCCCTGGCTGGTAAATAGTGACATTCTGGTAGATATCCCTGTCTGGTAAATAGAGACATTCTGGGTAGATATCCCTGGCTGGTAAATAGTGACACTCTGGTAGATATCACTGGCTGGTAAATAGTGACACTCTGGTAGATATCCCTGGCTGGTAAATTGTGTCATTCTAGTAGATATCCCTGGCTGGTAAATAGTGACATTCAGGTAGATATCCCTGTCTGGTAAATAGAGACATTCTGGTAGATATCACTGGCTGATAAATAGTGACATTCTGGTAGATATCCCTGGCTGGTAAATAGAGACATTCTGGTAGATATCACTGGCTGATAAATAGTGACATTCTGGTAGATATCCCTGGCTGGTAAATTGTGACATTCTGGTAGATATCCCTGGCTGGTAAATAGTGACACTCTGGAAGATATCACTGGCTGGTAAATAGTGACACTCTGGTAGATATCACTGGCTGGTAAATGGTGACATTCTGGTAGATATCCCTGGCTGGTAAATAGTGACATTCTGGTAGATATCCCTGTCTGGTAAATAGAGACATTCTGGTAGATATCCCTGTCTGGTAAATTGTGACATTCTGGTAGATATCACTAGCTGGTAAATAGTGACATTCTAGTAGAAATCCCTGGCTGGTAAATTGTGACACTATGGTAGGTTTTGTGATCTAGAGTGAAGTTCATCAAATCATTGTCTTCAGTAAGTTTCTGTGTGTCTTTCAGAATGTCGAAGCCTCAGTTGATGCAGGGTATGCAAAAGGATCTCACGTGCCAACTATGCCTTGAACTCTTCCGATCCCCTATCACCCCCGAATGTGGTCATACCTTCTGCCAAGGTTGCTTAACTGGGGCCTCTAAGAGCCAGGGTGAAAATGGATCTACACTGTGCCCAACATGCCAGGCTCCATCTCGACCTGAGACCCTTCATATCAACCGTCAGCTGGAGCATCTGGTGGAAAGTTTCAAGAAGGTCCCTCAAGGCCACTGCCTCGAACATTTGGACCCATTGAGTGTTTTCTGTGAGCAGGACAAGGAGCTCATCTGTGGCGTGTGTGCATCACTTGGCAAGCACAAGGGTCACAATATTATCACAGCTTCCGAGGCCTACAGCAAAATGAAGGTAGAATTCTACTCGCGCCATTACACATTACTTAACACAAGTCTGCGTGGCCAGATACAAAACAACACAGCTGGTTCTAAATGTGTTATAAAATGCAACACAACTTAATACAATACCTTATCATACAATACAGCACAACACAACCCTATATTATGCAATATTGTTCAACACAACCCTGCACTGTAAAAAAAAATTCAACACAAGCCTATAATATACAATATCGTTCAACACAACTCTACATGATACAGCACAGTTCAATACAACTCTGTATTATACAATACAGTTAAACACAACCTGTATGATACAGTTTAACACATCTCTATATTATACAATACAATCAACCCAGCCCTGCGTTATATAGAAAAGGTCAACACAACCCAACATTTTACAAGCCAGCTCAACATAACCCGACATTAACAATACAACCCAGTACATCACAACTCTGCATTATACAACACTCCACAACTGACACTTCCACTTCAAAAAAACTCATACATAGAACTTGACACAACCCAATATTACACAACATAGCTCAACACACTGTTATAAAACAGATCAATACAACTAACCCCACTATTGGTCCTTAAGGGTTTAAATATAATTGTGGTCCATTTATTGTAAGGTTTGATGTACTACATCTTTATTACTCCAGATTATATAAATCCACATTAGCCAGCCCAGTAGGTGTTAGCCTTTGTGATGCAATACAACTGTACAGAAAGCAAATGTATCCAATTACATCAATATCCCCTCATTTACTTCACATAAACCCATTACATAGTTACATTAGCATTGACGGACATTGGTTCATATTTTTTACTCTCTCCTTCCCTCTAGAGGCAACTGCCGCAACAGCAAGTTCTCCTGCAGGAGGCTCGGCTAAAAAAGGAGAAGACAGTGGCCTTGCTGGACAGACAGGTGGCTGAGGTGCAGGTCAGTGTGAAACCACATTTTAAGAAGTTCCCACATTCTATTCCATTCTATTCCACCAAATTTAACCCCATGTCATGTTCTGGTACCTTGCTGTGACCAAAATCAGATGGGTAATATCTAAATTTTCATATTCTTAAACCCTGCTAATTTCCTTTCAAAATATCCCAAAAATATCTCAAATTCTAAATGCACATCCACCCCATCCTCTCTCCACAGGACACTGTGTCCCGGTTTAAGATCAGCGTGAGAGAACAGCTGAACATAATGAGGTCCTACCTCGATGTGATGGAAAAGTCACTGGCTCGGGAGGCAGATAAAGCAGAACAGTCGGCAACCGCTGCTCTGGTGGGTGAGAGGAAGACCATGGCACATTATCTGGAGCAACTCCGGCAGATGGAAGGAGTTCTGAAAGATGTGGAAGAACACGAACAAACAGAGTTCCTCAGGGTGAGTTTTATCTAGAACCTGAGGGTCTCGACTCTCATGTAACTATACAAATAAATGGGAACCGCCATGTTTTCTTGTCAAAAAAACTTACACCACTTTTTTATTTCCCCCAGAAAATAAGCGTTGTTGGATCCAGGTAAAATACCTTTTTGTTTTCTTAATCTCTCTGGTCGATCTCCACTGTATAATTCTACTATCTCTGCACAGAACCTTCCATATCCTGTCCCACCATCTGTAGAGCTCCTGTATAGAACACCCACTTAATTTACACTTAAATATATGCTGAATATGCCAGGTTCTACCAAGCTTACAGTTTTACATCTTTGTTGCTTTTTATAATAGTCAGAGCAAGATCTTAACACCACCTATCTGCCTTGCTATCCCTGCATGGACCCTTCTATTTCATTTTGTGCAGATCCTTCTAGATAGAATGCCTACTAACCTTCAAATTCACATGTGATTCATACGCCAAGTTCAACAAAGTTTACAGCTTTGCATCTCTATTGCTTTTATTAATAGATTGGGCAAAATCTTGTCTGAATCTCCCCCTCCTGGGCGTCTCGACATCCAGCTCCCCATCATTTCTGACGAGTTCAAGTTCCAGGTCTGGAGGAAAATGTTCAGAGCACTGCTACCAGGTGAGCATGAGTTTTAGAGGGTGAGTGTAAGGATGGGTACAGGGTATGAGTGAGAGAGTGAAAGAGTTAGAATGAAAGGTTTGAGGTGGATGTACATGGATTACATACTAAATCCAACTTTTGTCTACCACCATTTTAAATGCCTATTTAGCAAATTCAACCAATCCTGTGTATGGAGCTGTATGGAAAAAAATGTACCAAAACATATATTTGTTCAGTGTTTATAGTTCCTTTCCCTGACATTTTTATGGCAGTTTTTCTTTATAAATCTCAGATACCCTTAGACACAATTCTAAAGTTATCTGTCACTCAGTAAAAAAGAGAGAAATTAATACACAAATATCATTTTCATTTAGAGATGTATATAAAATATACCCCAGATAGTTTGCTCAAGCAATATGGCTCTTTGTCTCCTGAAGTTGGCCAGGGCCAACATTTGTGTAGTCATACCCAGCTCATTCGTCTTACTCTCTTTTTGTAACTTACCTAATTGTTCCAGGGCTAGAAAACCTCACATTCGACCCAGAAGCAGCTCAACAGAACCTAGTCATTTCTGCAGATGGAAAATCAGTAGAGTGCTCTGAGCACAAACAGGCAGTATCTGATGAGCCAACTCGATTTGACAAAGGCAACTGCCTAGTGTCCAAAGAAAGCTTCACTGATGGAGAACACTACTGGGAGGTCCTGGTGGAAGATAAACCAAGGTGGTCACTGGGCCTAATTTCTGAGACAGCAAATCGCAAAGGAAAACTTCATGCAAGTCCTTCAAACGGCTTCTGGATTGTGAGCTGCAAGGAAGGGAAAGTCTACGAGGCTCATGCCGAACAAAAGGAGCCAAGGGTTCTCCGTGTGGATGGCCGGCCAGAGAAGATTGGGATTTACCTTAGTTTCTCTGATGGTGTGGTGTCTTTCTTTGATTCAGATGACGAAGACAATGTGAAACTGATGTACACCTTTCACGAGAGATTTTCTGGCCGACTCTATCCGTTCTTCGATGTCTGCTGGCACGACAAGGGGAAAAATGCCCAGCCGTTAAAGATCTTTGCACCTCAGTCTTAATCACATAAGCATTAATGGCCTTAGGAATTGGGGTTTGTCAAGGAGAGGTTGGAATGTTTTGGGATTTTTTAAGAATGAAAAATTAAGGAGTCAAAAAATAAATTACTTACCTGACCTGCTTTATGTTATGAAGAATTGCTTGCTCTTCACAAAGTCTAATATGTAACCCTTTATTAATAATAGGACTTGGCTGCGTCAATATGCAAATGTGTAGGCAACACAGTTTGTAGGAACTTAGCAACATTGTATAGAGCACCATACACATTGTCACTAGTAAACCTTATCCTACAATAAATGTATTTTCTCATCACAATTTGTTTGCAATAAATGAAGTTAAATACTGTCTTATAGTGGGTTTTGAAGGGTCTCTATTCTCTGTGATTGCTCCAGGTCTTACCATAAAATATCATCACATATTCCATATATTACGTACAACATGCCGGCTTCCCTTAAAAACACTGGAACTGAGGGGAAAGTTGCTAACCTGCAAATTTCTTCTACCATAGATTTAGAATGACCTGGCCCTGTGGATGCGGGCGATCTGTATGTTCCCTGAAATTTGTTGATATTGATATCTGATATTTTACGGTGTCTGATCCCAGCTTTCTCTGCTTTGTACCCTGTTATTTTAGGAACCGACAAGGACAGAATTCCTAGGATAATCAATGGAAAAATGGCAAAAAAAATATAAAACACATTACTAGCAGGTGTCCCATTAGTGATCAGGGATTACAAAGTGACAGTCCAGGGCAGCCATGGCTATTCGTGGCACGGTGTGACTGGGCAATGGGCATTTATTAGACAATGCCACAGTTAGCCACCCCTGCAGCCCGCTTCAGAGCACAATTCTTTATATCTGTTAAAATGTCATTATTAAAAATATTTATATATCTCCAACCTACTCTGCAGCGCTGCCCACCTCCAACACTCACCAATGGCCCAGGGTGATGCTATTAAATAGTTTAAACTGGGGGGACATAGTTCCCCCCAAACCCTTGGTTACTCCACAATAAAAATAATAATGTTTAATATTAGCTCCCACCCTCCACCAATGGATAGTTTTCGACAGTGAGCAGCTATTGGGTGCTTACTGTTTAGTTGACATGCCCCTACTCATGGTACAGCAAGCAGGGGCAGGAGGGAGGATTTTACCTCTCTTATACCATAGGGCAGGCATAGGCAACTTTCGGCACTCCAGATGTTTTGGACTACATCTCCCATGATGCTTTGCCAACATTATGGGTGCTAGAACATTATGGGGGATGTAGTCCACAACATCTGGAATGCCAAAGGTTGCCTATCTCTGCCATAGGGTGAGAAGGGGCATGGCGAGATTTAGGAAGCGGTGGGTTTTAAATATTACAAGGAGGGAGTCACGAGCAGCTCCCTCTTTGTAAAATAAAACAAAACAAATCACACAAAGAAATTGGTATGTGTTCATTCTTCTTTCAGGCGAATGCCCAAATATAGAATTCAAAGTCAATTTCAGAATTTAGGTCAAAATTGACAAACTGGAAATAGTCACCTACTTTTTTTTCAATTCAGATTTTAAATTTCAGCCTAAAAATTGAAATTCACTTTGAATTCGTGAGGATACACTGTTTAGTGAATAATCGTGTTCTAGCGCCTCAGGGTCCAAATAGTCATTTCCTTGCCAAGAAACTAAGTGTATAAGCGACAGTTAACCCACAGGAACTGGGTTTAGACATCTGAGCATCGTTAACTGGCAATGCATTCAGCAAACACCTGGTATTCAAAGGATTAAGCTTAAATTACATTCATTACCGCACAGAGCCCAGACACACCAGCTCCTACGGCCAAGGTTCAGTCTGGGTACACAGGATACACCAGGACTGGGCCCTCCGATTACAGCATTCCTTGTTCAACTTTGGGATGAGTCCTCCCATTCCAGCCCCGTTGATCCAGGACATTGAACTATAAAGAATTTTTCCATTGTTTTTACGAGCGCACGTTAATCTTGACTGTAATCGAGAGCTGCAGTGGTTATGGTGTTTAGAGTGTACCTTTTAAACTGGACATTATGCTCAGATTTTTTTAAACAATAAATTTTCAGACCCGATTGGTAAAATCAGAAATACAAAATTATAATCAAATATGAAAATTATAACAAACACGTACAAACAGCACTTTTAATCAAGACATGATTTGTGTACAATTGTATTAGCATTAACCAGTAACAAAATATGCTTAGTCCGTTAAAGCTGATGTCTTAACCGTGTGTTCTAGTCAATTTTTAATACGTTAAAAATTTTTATTTTTGTGCATTAAAATGCATTTGTCAGTGTTTTATTTAAACCAAGCGTTATTAAGGTTGCGTTGAAATCTAAATGTGATTTAAACTCCTCACCGATTTAAGTAAAGTCTTTGATACACTATTGTAAAAAACCTACATCTTTCTTATTATACAGCAAATCTGTCAGAGTCACGGAAGCTCTGAATGTTTTATTTTTCCACCACTTTCCCAGCATTACATGCAAAATATGAAAATAAGCATAAACAGAGATCACTGTTTCAGGTTATCTGTTGACTGTTCTGCCGTTTTATTACAGTTATTTGTGCCAATGAGCAGCCATGATCTGAATAAAATAACGTCCAGTTCCATGCATTCCGTATTCATAAACCCACAAGGCATCTCTGGGTTTAATATTATGTGGGAAATAACTGTGACAGCGTCAAGATAGACAGCAATAGGGTAATAGTTCATTCCGATTCATTTCTAACCTTCGTATTTATCATAAACACCTGCATTATTAAACAGCAAGTCTCTGCAATTAAAACCTCCATAAAATGCCAATGGTTTCTGCCTTATTTGCATATCTTCCACGGCATTTTGGGAAAGCTGTGAATAAAAACAAAGGGGTTTATTTAGTTTTTAGTTGTTTTGTTTTTTTAAGTTTCAAGGTGAATTTGTGGATTCTCAAAATCCCAGGTTGAGCCGCAGATTCTGAGGGCAAATTAACAGATTCTCAGGACAAATGGTCAGATTCTCAGGACGAATTAGCAGATTATAAAGACGAATGGACAGATTCTCAGGATGAATTAGCAGATTATAAGGACGAATGGACAGATTCTCAGGACGAATTAGCAGATTCTCAGGACAAATGGACAGATTCTCAGGATGAATTAACAGATTCTCAGGACGAATGGACAGATTCTCAGGACGAATTAGCAGATTCTCAGGACGAATGGACAGATTCTCAGGACGAATGTATAGATTCTCAGGACGAAGAGCTACCATTGAGCGAATAAAGTATGGCACCCACAGCGCACGTCTACTCGAGAGATGAGAATGTGGAAACCGAACCTTCATATTACGATGTGATAACCCAACACTTTCAACCTGTAACTGATATACAACTTGGAAAGGATCGCACTTAGTATGGGGAAGCCTTTTTTGTACTGTTTGCGCTCCTGGAGAGACTCAGTATTTGTTTAACCACTCCAAATAAAATGGGGCATCGGCTCACAGACTTAAAGTTCAATAACCATGAAATGTATTGGTTATGGTGTCTCTAAATCTCTAAAATCTATTTGTATCGTAATGATTTCTACCACATTCAACATTGTTATTATTATAATTTGGTTAAAGAGTGGACCATTGGGATCATTTTGCCCCCGAAGAACAAAGCTAATAAGTACACATTTGTAGGCAAGGGCGGTCCAGGTGAGGCGAGGTGCGGTCAGATGTAGGGATGTCAAAAACTAAGATTCCCAGATGTTGTGGAAATACAACTCCATCATTTTAGAATGGTGAAACAATATGGAGGTAGGAATCTGCAGTTTGAGTTACTCTGTGTCTCCAAACGGCTGTCTGTGTCGCACATATCAGTTTCCTAATCCTCGTTATGTGCCGGCTTGGATAAAAATCATGGAAATGGACTGAACTTTACGAAGTTCTAAACTATTTGATCAATAAAATCGACCTGTTACTGTGACTGAAACCAGAGACCCTGAGCCGCACACCCTAACAACCAGCCTACGCAAAGCTACGTATGTACGTAACGTGAAGTATGTACGTAACGTAAATCCTGGCTGTGAAGGGTAAAATATCCCTGAGCCGCGTTTACATTAAATATACGCAAAGTCTGTAAACTGTTACGGATTACATATAAAATCCCCAGAACTGTAATGAACTGATATCGTGACTTTCACGATGTGTTGTATAATAATGACTTATTAAAGCAATGTAATAAACTGATATCGTGACTTTCACGATGTGTTTTATAATAGTGACTTATTAAAGCAATGTAATAAACTGATATCGTGACTTTCACGATGTGTTTTATAATAGTGACTTATTAAAGCAATGTAATAAACTGATATCGCGACTTTCACGATGTGTTTTATAATAATGACTTATTAAAGCAATGTAATAAACTGATATCGCGACTTTCACGATGTGTTTTATAATAGTGACTTATTAAAGCAATGTAATAAACTGATATCGTGACTTTCACAATGTGTTTTATAATAATGACTTATTAAAGCAATGTGTGGAATAAATAGGGGATTTCCTCAGTTTACACCCAGTGAAAGTGAAAGTACTGTCACATCACCCAGCAACCAGAACTGCCACAGTTTGGGGGTAAATCACACAGTGTTCCCCCCTCACAGGGTTAATCCCAGCAGGCATGTTAGCCCTGGGGTCCCATTAACCCTGTATTGCCTGGTACACAGATAGGACACAGCCTGGGATGCCATGATACCAGGGGTAACATACAGCAATGACAAGGGGCCACGCATGCGCACTGACTGTGCGTCTAACAGGAGAGGTGGCTCTTTGCCTGGTTACTGATGATGCGGAGTTCAGACGGATTTTTGATTGGTCGGTGATAAAGCAGTATATAAGGAGAGGGACCCCGCAGACTGGCTATTCTTTTGCTGTTGTCGGAGAGAGAGGATGAAGCTCCTGATTGCAAGCGCAGTGTTTCTGCTGGGACTCAGCCTGGCATGGGCTGATACTCAGGATATCAGTGAGTGCTCACTCAACCTCATCACTCACTGTCTCTTATTATATATTATTCTCATCACTGACTGTCTCTTATTATATATTATTCTCATCACTGACTGTCTCTGAATAATATTCTAATCACTGACTGTCTCTTATTATATAATATTCTAATCACTGACTGTCTCTTATTATATTATTCTAATCACTGACTGTCTCTTATTATATAATATTCTAATCACTCACTGTCTATTATTATATTATTCTAATCACTGACTGTCTTATTGTATATTATTCCAATCACTGACTGTCTCTTATTATATAATATTCTAATCACTCACTGTCTCTTATTATATAATATTCTAATCACTCACTGTCTCTTATTATATTATTCTAATCACTCACTGTCTCTTATTATATAATATTCTAATCACTCACTGTCTCTTATTATATTATTCTAATCACTGACTGTCTCTTATTATACATTATTCCCATCACTGACTGTCTCTTATTATATAATATTCTAATAACTGACTGTCTCTTATTATATATTATTCTAATCACTGACTGTCTCTTATTATACAATATTCTAATCACTGACTGTCTCTTATTATATTATTCTAATCACTGACTGTCTCTTATTATACATTATTCCCATCACTGACTGTCTCTTATTATATAATATTCTAATAACTGACTGTCTCTTATTATATATTATTCTAATCACTGACTGTCTCTTATTATACAATATTCTAATCACTGACTGTCTCTTATTATATTAT